TTTCCTTATTTATGCTTTTAAGTCATGTGTTTGTTTCTGTTGATGTGCTTATGTGTCTAAAATAAAAATTTATAAAAATTAAAAAAAAAGAATGTGCAGAAATGGATAGACTAACATTCAAAATTAAGGAGAAGGAAGAAACTGAATACTCTTTAACATGGGATTTGTTTTATCAATGGCTAACTAGCAGAAACAGAAGTTAGAAACTAAAAAGCATAAATAAGGAAATGATTACCTATATAGAAGATTTATTAAAATGGTTAAGTAAATATTATTATTATTATTAGATTATCATTAATGTTGTTATGTTATCATCAATGTTTATCATTAATGTTATGAATAATATTGCTATTAATACTATTTCTCAAAAACAATTGTACTCAGACAACACACTGTTCATATAGACATTGAATTTTTATGTTTAATATTAAACAAATTTTTTAAAAATTAAAAAAGACATTCCTTTCTTTTTTAACCAAATGACAAAAAATACTAACATTAAATTGTTGTTTTATTCAGTGATGGGAGAGAAGGTTATACTATTATGCTTAAATTGAGATTTCCTTCACCCTCAATTTTAATTACAGCCTTGTGGGACTGCCCTTTTAAACTAATTTTCTGATTTTTTCTGTGTTCATAATCCATTGGTATTTTTAAAAAGTTTGTGACCTTGTTAATAGAGGTAGGGAGCGTAAATGTTGCCAAATTTTCCTTACAGCATTGGAGAAATGTATTTTTCAAAGTATACTCCAATTTCCCACTAAAGCTTCTTCTCTGTATCCCATCTAACATCTTCTATAATTTTCATATCTCTTATCTATCTATTTATTTATAAATAACTATATAAATCCTATCTATTTTATCTAATATCCCCAGGATTCAACAGGAGAGGCCAAAGTTACATAGCACCACTATTATTTTTAAAAAATAATAATGGATTGAATTTATTTGATTGGAATTTAAAATTATATTTCAAATGAAGGCCCATGAAAAACTGAGTGAATGTAATCTGTATGAGAAAAAGAGTGGTCCTAACCTGCATAAATTTAGTCAGAGCTGACTGCTGCAGAAGAGTAGGCATATCTGCTAGCAATGTGAATCTAGAATAAGTTGTTATATTAGGGAGGAAGGGAAGGATGAATTAATATTAATCATCAATGCATAATTAAGTACAGAATTAATGGCTTCTATAATGATACATATGCTGTTTAGAGGCAGAGGCTGCACTTTCCAATTCATGTTTTTCTTTGGTCTCTGAGGATGCACTGGTGATATGATGGGAGGCCAGAGGGCTTTTTAAAAAAACATTTTTTAGACCTTAGAATTTTTGAAGGTACAAATTAGGTGCACTGAGAACTGCACTTTAGATAAAACAGAAAATCACAATTACATGTGGCCCACAGGCTAAAGTCCAGTGTTTCTCAACCTTGGCAACTTCAAGACTTTGCAACTTTGCAACTTTAATAAGATTTGTATGCCGCCCACTCCCTAGGGACTCTGGGCGGCTCACAACAAAAGCAAAAACATAGAATATTAAAAGTACAATTATTTAAAATAAAATCATCCATTCAATTCAAGATGTGTGGACTTCAACTCTCAGAATTCCCCAGTCAGCTATTTGAGTTGCCAATGTTGAGAAACATTGCTATAAACCAGGGGTGTCAAATTTGCATTGTCACAGCGTCGTCACATGACATATTGGGACTTTTTCCTCTTTGCTAAACTGGGCGTGGGCGTGGCCAGCGCGCGACACATCTGGCCCACAGACTGCGAGTTTGACAGCCCTGCTATAAACTATTAATTTCTGATTACCAATAAGCTATGGAGAGCATAATACAAAACCAGAGCAGCATTTCCCAAGAGGGTACCAGGTAGGGGAAAGCTGGGGTCAGTGTATCGAAGTAGAAAAAGGTAATTGTAATGGTATGTGGGAATGACCTTGAGAGACAGGAGAAAGAACAGCAGACTAGGCAATTGTCAGAGAAGCAGCAGCTGAGTCCACAGAAGGAATGGAGGTGTGGTAAATGTTTCAGAAGGGACCCTTTCTAGTGTCTTGAACTGTAAAGGCAAGGGGGGTGGGAGAGATGTACTTTCAGACTTGCAAAATTATGTTAATGTAACCTTACTATAAAGTTAAAGCTAGTACTGCTGGGTGTGCTTCTTGTCTGGACTACATTACAAGCCTGACAATAACCCACATTCAAATCACTTCTCAGTCATGAAACTCTCATAAATGGCCTATGGCTCTATTGTTCACTCTTGCAATATGTGAGTATAAAAGAGAAGATGAGTAGGAGAACAACTATTTTTACCTTGAGCTCTCTAGTGGAAAAGAGAAATAAGAGTAATCAGTGTAAATGAGTAACTTTACCACAGATCCTTGGCACCACCTTCATCCACAACACTTACCTGTGGTTTGGATACATTCTTCTTGAGTTTGTTGAGTGTCTTGCGGTTGTAGGGATCACCACCTGGGAGCAACTTAACTGTTGTATCACATGTCTCGGCATGGAGTTGGGGGAACATGTGGAGTGCTTCCTGTATGGGGAAGAAAGTAAATGTGAGAAGAAGCTTCTTTACAACTTCCAGTTGCTGGGTCAATTCATTCCACTTTCTGTTGTTACAAAGATCCCAAGATGTTAAGGACTAGACAAATCAGATATTTAAATAGAGAGAGATATGGCAACATCCTGAAATAATAAAGTTGGGTATAGCCATTGAAAAGACTCGAGAGACGGGGGCGGGGGCTTGATGTCGCAACGACACGACACGCAATCTTGGGTCTCCAAGATTGCAGTCGATATCTCTG